CCCCCTTGCAGCCGCCATGATAGGCGAAATCTGTGCTGCTGCAAAATTCATCTCTAAGTTCCTCGGCATCAAGGGCCTGAGGAGTGAACAACAGCTGCAGACCTTCAGCCAGAGCCTGCAGGAACTGCTGGCAGAACATTACAAACATCACTGGTTTCCAGAGAAGCCCTTCAAGGGATCTGGCTACAGGTGTATTCGTATCAACCATAAGATGGATCCTCTGATTGGACGAGCAGCCCAGCAGATTGGCCTGAGCAGTCAAGAGTTGTTCAAGCTTCTGCCAAGTGAACTCACACTCTGGGTTGACCCCTACGAAGTGTCCTACCGGATTGGAGAGGATGGCTCCATCTGTGTGCTGTACGAAGCCTTGCCAGCGGCAGACAGTTCTCAAAGTGGCACCAACGAGCAAACGGTAGACAGCAGAATCAGTTGCAAGGAGAAAACTTTCTTGAGCAGAGCAAGCAATATTATGACTGTATCGGGTTAAGATACAGTCTTCGGATGGATCATCGTATAATGGATGGATAAATTTGATTTTTGGTTTGGGTGGGATCCTCTGGGGGATGGATTATGGAATTTAAACCATGTCACAGCTGTGAAGATCTGGCACAAGACAAGAGTGGTAACATTTTTTTTAAGTGGCTTTGCTATAGTTTGGGCAGAACCTTTCAACTATTTTCTAGTCTGTGAGTTCAAGAACACAATTACCTTATTTGTTAGGTAGTGAAGTCCTCTGTTGCTTTCACTCTCTTTCAGACTTTATAACTCTATTGTGACATTGGTCCCTGGAAGAAAATTTGTATTCACTGTAATTTTACATTTTTTTAAGTGTGTGAGTGATTTGCTGAATGTATGTCTGCGAGCCACTTGTGGAGTATGCTGGGAGAAGGCAGAACAGGGAGGTGGATTCCCTGAGGGTGCTAGGAACCAAACCTGTGCCCTCTCTTAGAACAAACAGGTCTCTATCACTGAGCCATGGCTCCAGCCCCATAAATCTGTATTTCAATGAAGCGTCTTCCACATTTGACCTTTTAAGGGGTTTGACACTATTACACTTGGATGTTAACAATAACTTTTTGGCCATTGGGTAGGAAAGTTCAATTATATAAGCATAATTTTAGAGGAAACACCCCATCAACAGATTTTCTTAGCACTTGAATAAATGTACATAAAGAAAAACTAGGTCAGATGACAGGAGAAAGGAAAGGGCCAGGCTCTGTATTGGGTTTTTGGTTTTGAAAGTAGTGAGCAGAATGTTCTTTGGCAACATGCTGTTTTAAAAAATTAATTTTTTACATTCCAATCCCAGTTACCCCTCCTCCCACTTTCCCCTCCTCCCATCTGCTCCACGGAGAGGATAACAGGCTTTTTTAAAGACCTTATAGAGGAATCGGTCCCTGAGGACACTGGGACCCTGACTCTGCTGAGATTGCTGGGCTATTCCTGCCACCACAGAGTGCAGAGACTGCAGAGGGTCTGGAGACAGGTGACTCGACCCCTGAGGACCAAGCAACCCAGAGTCTGCTGATATCTCTACACCAGTCCTGCTCTCACTACCTGGAGAGCAAGTGCCTCAGACCTGCCTGCACCCAACTTGAAACCCATCAGAATATCAGAGCCAATTGCACACACCTGAAGAGAACACCGGACCCATACACACCAGGAAAGGAAGTGACACCACCTGTACCCACTGGAAGAAGAAATGGGAAGACGACAATATAAGAACACATCCAACAACAGGAAAACCAATATGACACCACCAGAGTCTAGGGACATCTATATCCCAACACAGAAAAAGCAGAAGAGAGCAACCTTAAAAACAACTTCATGTAATTGATAGACACCCTAAGAGAGGAAATCAGAAAATCATTCAGAGAAATGGAAGAAAAAATGAACCAAAAGATGCAAGAAATCAAGGAAAGCCAAAAAAAGCCAAGAAAATACAATTCAACAGCTGAAGGAAACAGTTCAGGACTTGAACACTGAATTAGAGACAATAAAGAAAACACAAACTGAGGGAATGCTGGAAGTGGAAAAGCTTAGTAAACAATCAGGAACCATAGATGCAAGCATAACCAATAGAATACAAGAGATGGAAGACAGAATCTCAGACACTGAAGATAAACTATCAGACACTGAAGATAAACTAGGGGAAATAAACTCATCAAGCAAAGAAAATCTGAAGTCCAAAAAATCCATAACACAAAATATCCAGGAAATATGGGACACAGTGAAAAGACCAAACCTAAGGATAATAGGTATAGAAGGCGAAGAAACCCAACTCATAGGTGCAGAAAACATATTCAACAAAATCATGGAAGAAAACTTTCCCAACCTAAAGAAAGACATGCCAATGAAAGTACAAGAAGCCTATAGAACACCAAATAGAGTGGACCACAAAAGAAAGTCCCCTCGTCACATAATAATTAAAAGACCAAACTTACAGAATAAAGAATAATATTAAGAGCAGCGAGAGAAAAAGGCCAACTAACACATAAAGGCAAACATATCAGAATTACACCAAACTTCTCCATGGAAACTCTGAAAGCCAGAAGGCTTGTCCCCATTTCCTATCCCTGACTCTCTTGACACAGGTTCACGTCCTACAATTTGGGACAAAACAATATGTAACCACTAGTCATACATCAAAATCCTGTTCTCCCTGAAATTTGAAAACTTAAAGGAAATTGACAGTTTTCTGGAGAGTTATCACTTACCAAATTTGAATCAAAGACAGGTGAACAAGTTAAAAAAACCTATAACACCTAAGGAAATAGAAGCAGTCTCCAAACCAAAAAACTCCCAGGGCCAAATGGCTTCAGTGTACAATTCTATGAGAAATTCAAAGAAGAGCAAATACCAATACTCCTCAAATTGTTCCACTCAATAGAAGCAGAAAGGACGTTCCCTAACTCTTTTTACGAGGCTACAATAACCTTGATACCTAAGCCACAAAAAGACACAACTAAGAAAGAGAACTACAGACCAATATCCCTCATGAACATTGATGCAAAAATTCTCAATAAAATACTGGCAAATGGAATCCAAGAACACATCAGAGAAATCATCCACCATGATCAAGTAGGCTTCATTCCAGGGATGAAAGGATGGCTCAACATACGAAAATCCATCAATGTAATCCACCATATAAACAGACTGAGGAAAAAAACCACATGATCATCTCACTAGATGCTGAAAAAGCCTTTGACAAAATCCAACACCACTTCATGATAAAGGTCTTGGAGAAATAAGGGATAACAGGAACATACCTCAACATAATAAAAGCAATGTACAGCAAGTCAACAGCCAACATCAAATTAAATGGAGAGAAACTCAATGCAATTCTTATAAAATCAGGGACAAGAAAAGGCAGTCCACTCTCTCCATACCTCTTCAATGTTGTCCTTGAAGTTCTAGCTAGAGCAATAAGACAACAAAAGGAGATCAAGGGAATACAAATCC